AGAGGGGGGGGAGAGACTGAGAGACAGAGAAAGTCAGAGAGAGAGAGGGAGATAGAGATAGAAAGAGGCAGAGAGAGAGAGGCAGAGGAGGGAGGGAGGGGAGGAGGGAGAGAGACAGAGAGAGAGGGAGAGACTGAGAAAGTCAGAGAGAGAGAGAGGGAGATAGACAGAGACAGAGAGAAAGAGGCAGAGAGAGAGAGGCAGAGGAGGGAGGGAGGGAGGGAGGGAGGGAGGGAGGGAGAGAGAGAGAGAGAGAGAGAGAGAGAGAGAGAGAGAGGCAGGCAGGCTATGGTTTGTATTTTTAATGTTGTCACCCTAAGAAACTTATGTGTGAGTTGGGCGGCCAGGTAAATTTGCTTAATAAATAAATAGATGGATAGAAGATAGTAACTGTAGCTCGGGTTTGAACTGTGGGGCCCTTGGTGCTCTCTGAGCTCATGAGTTTTTAAAAATATAAAAAAGAGAATTGGGTATGAGAGGCGGGTCGGGCAGGTTTTAATTCTCAAAATTAATGTCACTGTAATGATGTTAAGGTATAGGGATTTAAGAGCTGACCAGATGTAAAGCTGATGCAATGTAAGGCTGATGCAAGACGGATGAATCCGCAGAGCATGGGTATTGCCCTTTTAAGACGAAGAATGGATCCACAGAAGGTTTACCTCTTTAAGAGGTGTCTATATAAAGGCAGCTATTAGAGGGCATGTTCTCTGTCCTTCTGTCTGGTATCCATTGCAGAGTTCTCCGTGTAGAGTTAAGATTGATTGCTTGTCAGGTATTTGCCTACTACGTACATTTCTGTATATGTCTTATATATAAAACACTGTTAAATGTCTAAGTCTCTGTGTGCTATGTTTTGCTCCTGGTTTGTGTCATAATAGTAGTCACGCTTGAAACGCTCTGACAAATGAGTGTTTCTTAGAAAAGCTAAGGAAGAGCCTGCCTCTCACGAGCTCAAATGCCATCATATATCTTGCTTTACATAATGGAGCACAATACATTTTAATGCTCCAAACCAGGCTTAGAAAGCTGACCTTCCCAAACCGGCACCTTCTATATTGATAGCAAGGTACATGACGACGGCTGGGACTACAGTTTCCAGGAGCTATCCCTCTGTTGAGGCAGCCTAGGACTGATGGTGAGTTGTAGTCTTGCCTTAGGCAGGAAAGCCAGCTGGTGATTCTCAGCCAATCACCAGGAGATGGTGAATTCTAGTCTCACTTTAAGCATGAAAGCTGCCCTAGTAACTTTGGGCCGATCACTGGGAGACAGTGAGTTCTAGTCTCATCTTAGGCATAAAAGCCGGCTGGGTGCCCTTGTGCCAGTCATTCTCTCTCAACACAATTCATCTCCCATTGTTGCTATTGTAAGGAAAGTAAGAGGAGGAAGGAGTATTGGGTTATGTTCGCCACCTTGAGTTGTTTATAAATAAATATGGGGTAGAAGTAAAATAAACAACCAAATAAATAAATTTGCAGCAAGGGAGATCTTTAGTCAGCTCTGAAATCTCTCAGAGACAATGTGGTAAGAACACTTGGAATAAGGAGAAATTCCTCCAATTCACAAAACCACAACTGGGAAGGAAATTCTCAGCCTTCTAAATTATCAGACCGCATTTATCCTCACCTTGCAAGCTCCTTAATTAAGTTCGCGATGCGCCTCTTGTCTTCGGGGCATAAATCCTTTAAAGAAGCACTCTTTGTTTCTCCTTTGTCAGGCCCCTAAAAAATTAAAACCCACATTTAGCAAAAGAACTTCATTAAATGTGGAAAGAAGCCTTTCCGGATTTACTACAAATATATTTCAAACACAAACAGCTGCAGACACAGCTGAAAATTCAGCCATACTTGAATGGACCAGGAAAGAAAGAGACATATTTTTATAAACGACTACGGAGATAATTTCCCAAATGTTGCATTGGAAGAACCGTTGTTGGCTTATGCTTCTACAAATGAGCTTCTCCAAGGGCTGGAAGGAGGAGAAAGAGAAGGATTGCAATTTTGTAAGGGCCTCAGAAATGGGGGTTTGAACAAGAGGACGAAGTCCTATTCTTAACCTTTGGGAACTTATCATCTGTACCTGATACAACATTTTGCAAGAAGCAACAATTGCTACGTAAAACTTCATAAGATCTGAAGTATTGCAAGTCTTTTTTTCAAATGTTAATTACACCGGAAAAAAGGGTGAAAGTACATTTTGGAAATGTACCAACCAAAAAAGAAATATATGAATTATTCAAAATCTATTAGTAGAACTAAGGAGACATTTCCTGATAGTGAGAATCAGTGGAGCAGCTGAAGGTTTTTAAGAGATTAGGCAGCCGGTTTTCTGAAATGGTATAGGGTTTCCTGCCTGAGCAGGGGGTTGGACTAGAAGACCTCCGAGGTCCCTTCCAACTCTGTTATTCTGTTGTGTTCTGTTATCTCTAAATCTAAATCCCCAAATGACTCTCCAGACAGCATTTGATTGCACAGTAAAAACCGTGCAAATTGTCAACTCAAGTTTCATCCCGTAACTCTAGCTGCAAATCCCAAAACACGCGACATCGCCTTCCTGCAATGTCCAATTGGCTACCGGGTGAGTCTCTAGGCTTCATGGGCCACCAAATTGCTAGAGCATTAAAAAGCCAGAGTAACAATGATGGGATAGTACCGGTATAGCATTATTATTTTATTTTATTTTGGTAAGAGGTGTATTTGCACCCTTTCACCACCAGAGGGCACCGCATTGTTCAGAAAATTTCTGCATGCCCACCGAGCGTAAGACTGAACAGTTCAGGAAACCAGATAGGTGAGTGAAACTGTTAAAGAACAGGGATCGCCAACCTTTTGGACCTCAGGGACCATCAAACCAATAATTTTAAATCCCGTGGACCAGAGACCCTGGGAAAATCCCCCAAAAAAGTCTGCAGGAAAATTCCCCACCCCGTTTTCCCACCGATCGGTCATTCTTTATTTGGGATTGCAGGATACCGTCTCCAGCTCTGTTCTCAGGGAGAGAGAGAAAGAGGGAGAGACTTTTGGCTTCATGCAAGGAAAACAGCAGAAGCAGCAGAAGTCTTTCTTTCTCTCCCCCAAACTCCGCCAGAAACGAGTCTTTGCTGGCGCAGCCTCTTGGAGCAGGAGGCCTTGCAGGGTCCCAAAGACTCACTTCTGGCGGAGTTTGGGGGAGAGAAAGAAAGACTTCAGCTGCTTTCCTTGCATGCAGCCAAAAACAGAAGAAGGAAGAAGCAGAAAGAAGCAGCCCGGTGGTCAGACCAGGCATGTGGGGAGAGTGCAGCAAGCTCCCCCTCTCCACCCTTTCCCCCCTCCCCTCACTACCTCGTGTGGTTCACAATGCAAGCGACGCAAGCTTTGTGTTCCCTTGGGCCATGTGGGCGGCACAGCCTTGTGTTCCCACGCAGCCTGGATTAATTGCTTTGTGGGGGACATTTCTCTGCAGACCACCAACATTTTCTCGCAGACCACCAGTGGTCCCCGGCCCACTGCTTGGCAACCACTGTGTTAGAATACAGGTAGTCCTCGACTTATGAGCCCAATTGAGCCCAAAATTTCCACTGGTTAAGCAAGGCAGTTGTTAAATGAGTCACACCCCATTTTAGGACCTTTCCCCCCCCCCCCCACAGTTGTTAAGTGGATTGCCTGCTCTTTCTGCTGTTTTTCAAACTTCCATAATTTTCACGGGTGAACTTCAATTTCAAGAATACACCAACTGACAATGCTGGCTGGGGAATTCTGGGAGTTGAAGTCCAGCCATCTTAAAAGATTTCAAATGAAAAGCACCCGTCTCCTTCTCTGAGAAACTCTCCATTTCTGTCCTAATTAAGAATGGATCGCACCCCAAGAAAGAGGTTCCCATCAATTCTCCGTCATACGTGCTTCCACCACGAGTGGGAGCTGCGATTAGACTACACCAAGGACCTGCATCTTTCTGGCTTCTATTTCTTTCAAAGACTTCAAAAGATAACCAACTTTACTACTGCAAGCCAACTTCAGAATAGATACTAGCGATCAACTTGCACGGAGTGAAGTTTCCCAGGGCGGCGGCGGAGAGTTTTAGTCAAGTCAGAATCAGAACAGAGCTGGAAGGGACCTTGGAGGTCATCTAGTCCAGCCCCCCGCTCAAGCAGGAGACCCTGTACCATTTCAGACAAGTGCCTGCCCAGTCTCTTTCTTAAAAAAACCTCCAGGAATGAAGCACCCACAACTTCTGGAGGTAAGCAGCTCCCCGGTTGTCTTCACTGTTAGGAAGCTCGTCCTTAATTTCAGATTGCTTCTCTCCTGGATTAATTTCAAACCATGGTTTCTTGTCCTGCCTTCTGGGGCTTTCAAAAATAAGTTGACCCCACCCCCCCTTCTTTGTGGAAGCCTCTCAAATACTGGAATACTGCTATGATGTCCCCCTGAGTCTTTCTTTTCTCTAGACTAGCCAAACCCAAATCCTGCAGCCGTTGTTCTTCGTATGTTTTAGTCTCCAGGCCTTTGATCATCTTAGTTGCTCTTCTCTGCACTTTTTCCAAAGTCTCAACATCTTTTTCGTAATGCAGCGACCAAAACCTGATGCAGTATTCTGGGTGTGGCCTTACCAAGGCTTTATAAAGTGGTACTAATACTTTTTGGGGCTGCTGCTACGCACTGGATGGCTCATGTTTAAGGGATTTGTCCACTAAGACTCAAAAAAAACCCCATTTTTTAAAAATCTACAGCAGCCTTTTCCGTTAAGAGCTCTGTGGGGTTTTGTCTGCTAAAATTCTCCCTGGGATTTTTTTTTTTTCCCCAAAAAGACAAAAGTCGTTTTGGCACGTGCACACCGTAACACGGTGTTCCTCTATTACAGAAGGCATCTGCATCTCCCTTTGCGCTTGTGAGTCCGAGAATTTTGACGCACAATTGCCCCAGGTGAATGATCACGTCAGGGTCTCTTTCTTGGTGACTGAGTTTCCAAACCAAAAAGAAAAAAAAAACTGCATTTTTAGAACCCAGGAAGTGTTGGGTTTCTAACGCAACCCCCTCGGCACACCTGAGGGCAGCAAAACACGGTCTGCCGGATGAGATAAGTACCACAGCTGCTGAGATTCACTTGGCCACAAGCCCCTGGGAATTTTGGATATCCCTGAAGCCTGGATGATCCCTGGAGTATGAGGTCTAGAGGTTGACTGAGACTGTTGATGTGATTATTATTTTTCTTCTTCTCAGGATGGTTTAAGTTTAAGGGCTGTCCTAGGGAGCCGATCGGGTAATATTGTGTTGCTAGTCTTGGTGTCCTGACAGATTGCTTCTGTTCTTCAGGCTTTCTAAGCTCCAGCCAGAGTCAGAATTGTCAGATATAAATGGATAGATAAACAAATAAATAGCAACAGAGGAGAGTATTTGTAGCACAGGGATCTACTGCGGGGTCCTTGGTACTCTCTGAGCTTGGGCATCTATGGAGATTCTCAGTCATCCCAGATCACGGTTGTCCCAGAGGTGCTTTTACAGGAGGCAACTGGACTTTCTGGTTAATTCCTTGAAGCAGCTTCTTGGATGACAACCAAAACAGCTTCACAGAAAAAAACCAGAAAGTCCGGTTGCCTCTTGAAAAAACACCTTTGGGATTCCTACTGTTGGTTACATGTGTGTATATATATATATTTACTTCTACCGTATTAATATTTCAGAGGACTATTTAAAAACAAAAAACAGCACACAAATAATCGATAGAAGTGAAATGAGAAAAGAACCAGTAACAAAAATCAATGTGGCCGCTGCAAGAGCTCCGTCATATTATTGGGCCCCAGGCCCAGGAACGAAGCCACACCTGAAAGGCCTTGCACAAAGCCTGTTAACAGAGTCGCAGAGATGGAATAGACCCTGGAGGTCTTCTATCTAGTCCAATCCCCCTGCCCAAGCAGGAGACCTCACACCATTTCGGACAGGGGGTTGTCCAACCTCTTCTTAAAAGCCTCCAGAGATGGGAGCACCCACATCCCCTGGTTAATTGTTCTCACAATGAGGAAATGTGTCCTTAATTCCAGATTGCTTTTCTCCTTGATTAATTGTTTTTGCCTTGCCTTTTGGTCCTTTGGAAAATAAGTTGATCCCTTCCTCTCTGGGGCAGCCCCTCAGATATTGGAGGACTGCTATCAGGTCACCCCTAATCCCTAACAGGTATAGGTTCTCCTGGCACATCCGTGCTAGTGGTTTCCGGCTCTAAGGACCAATGCTCATCTCCATTACAAAGCCAAAGAAGAGACAGCGCTGTCAGAAGGCAGACTGCTCGGTTGGCAGAAGCTGCTGGGACAAGGAGCGGGAGCTCACTCCGTTCCACGGCGCTAGGGATTCAAACCTCGAAACTGCCGACCTGATTGACAAGCTCAGCGTCCTAGCCGCTGAGCTAAACCTCCTAATCTGAGCACCCTAATCCCTAATCTTGATCAATCTAATCTCCGGGGAAATGGTCTTCCAAAGGGCCAGCTCCTCTTCTTGCCCTCCTTCCCTCCGAGATGGCAATCTGTTTAGAGGAACGCCTCCCCTGGCAGACCTAACGGGACAGGTAGACGTGACGGGGGACAGGTGGTCCCCTCCTATGTACGCGTCGAGTGTTCAGCTGTGCACAGGCACAGCGAGTTGTGCGAACGTGACCCTCGGTGCCTTGCTGCTGCTTGCTCTAAGAGGAGAAGGCAAACCTACCTGCTGCCCAGCCTCTTCTCCGATCCTCTCCAGGACCTCCATGGGGGCGGGAGTCGAAGCCGCAACTCCTTTGGCCTTCGCTTCCGTCTTCTGCCCTTTCCGCGGTTGCCTGGGTCTCAAAGGCCTCCCATCAGAAACCCCTGCAAATGCAACAGACGAGACCTGGAAATTCCCCACTTGTTCTTACAAAGCCCTGCCCCCACTTCAACTTTTCCAGTGAAAAGAAGGAACTACAAAAAAAAACATTAAAAAGTACACCAGAAAACTCATCTCATCTCATCTCTCCTCCTCCTCCTATTCATTTTCTATTCCATTCTATTCTGCATTCTATTCTTCCTCCCCTCCCCTCCCCCTCCTGTTCTGTTCTCCTCCCCATTCCTCCATATTCTGTCGTCTTGTCCTGTCCTATTCTATTCCTATCCTAAGTTCTGTTCTGTTCTATTCCAATTCCAAGTTCTATTCCATGCCATTATATTCTGCATTCTATTCCATTCCGTTTCATTCCATTTCTATTTCCTTCCATTCCATTCCATTCCCTTCCCTGTTCTATTCTATTCTATTCCTAATTCATATTCTATTCTATTCTATTCCTAATTCATATTCTATTCCATTCCTGTTCTAATTTCTATTCCACGCCATTATATTCTGCATTCTATTCCATGCCATTCCCTTTTCTATTCTATTCGATATTCCTAATTCTTATTCTATTCTATTCTATTCCTAATTCATATTCTATTCCATTCCTATTCTAATTTCTATTCCACACCATTATATTCTGCATTCTATTCCATGCCATTCCATTTCCTAATCTATTCTATTCCTAATTCATATTCTATTCCATTCCTATTCTAATTTCTGTTCCACACCATATTCTGCATTCTATTCCATGCCATTCCATTTCCTATTCTATTCTATTCTATTCCTAATTCATATTCTATTCTATTCTATTCTATTCCTAATTCATATTCTATTCCATTCCTATTCTAATTTCTATTCCACGCCATATTCTGCATTCTATTCCATGCCATTCTATTTGCTATTCTATTCCTAATTCATATTCATATTCTATTCTATTCCTAATTC